TATAAATTAAAAATTTTTAATTTTTAATTCTTAAAAGTAAAAACAATCATGTATAATTTTAATATTATAGGATTAAACATATTTAACTTTAATTGTGTTTGATTATTTAAAACATCTTTTTAACTTAGTTCTTTATTTAGAGATTCTATTTATTTTTAATGCATGATTAATTGATTATTCAATTTTTCTTATAAGTTAGAATTCATAATTTTTTCTTCTTTCAAATTTTTATCTAAAGCTGAAATTTATTCATCTTAATTTTTAAGTATGTTTTAATGATTATTCAGTTTTTCTAATAAATTGAAGTTAATGGATTTTTCTTCTTTTAAATTTGCATTTAAAAGTTAAACTTATTCATCTTCATTTTTAAGCTTTAATTAAATATCTATTACACGTAGATTGAGATCATCAATATTTTTATTAGAATTTTGAATTATTATCTTCTGTTCTTCTATAATTTGATTGCCTAAAATTTATAACTTATTATTCTTACTTTTTTATTCTAATTTATTGTATTCTTATTGCATTTTGCTTAACTTGTTCTCTTATTTCTCTAACTCAAAAAAATCTTTAAAATATTTAAAATCATTTTCAAATCTGTCAGTATAGTCAAGAACTTAACTTTATATATTTTTCAGTTGCATATTATCTGGAAATGATTTTATTTTATTGTTTATATTTTTAATTTAAGAAGAGTGCTCTTAATATTTTTGAATTGTTTATGTAAACAAGCCCATCTAGCAATAAATTTATTTTGAAGATTTAATCAAATTATCCAATTCTTGTTTTGTGTTCAATTATTCTTGATTTACTTTATTACTCTCCTAAATTTGTTTTGACAACAATATTATTTCTTAGATTTGATTATCTTCTATAAAATTAAGGATAATTTTACTTTATTTATTTTATAAAATATTTATTGAATCTTAAATATCTAATTAATCAAGTTGCTTTAAGTCTTCCAATTTGGTTTCTATCTCTTTTTAGAATAAAGCGTCTTTAGATTTAATTTATTCAATTTTAGGATCTTAATTGAAGCTCTCCTTCTTCTACTCAATTAACTAATTAATATTTTGCATCAAATCGTCTTGGCATAACTCTTGTATGGTCGCTTATTTGATTCTATTAATCTCATTTTTCTTAATTATTGTAGAAGAAAACTCTAATATTATTTTTTCACTGATTTCGTTCAATTACTAGTTGTAATTTTTTCTCATTAATGCAATCTATTATTTCATTTTTTCATATTTTTCTAATTTTTTGAATTTTAATTCATTAAGAATTTGATCTTATTGATTATTAGATAAATTCCATAATTAATTTATTTTTTCAATAGTTCTATATTAGTATAAAGGATGTTCACTTATACAATCAACACAAACAAATCTATCTTCAATTTTTTTATCTTTAGTATCTAAATCAATCATTATTATTTCCTTATTATGTTTTTGACACACTTTATTTAAGCTTGGTGTTTTCTTAAATATTATAAAATTTTACTTAATTATTGTTACAACTTATTAATTCAATTTTTGTGTTTTCATTTATTTCATTAATTTTTTATTTTGCATTGTTAAAAGAGTCTAAAGTTTGAAAGTATTCTGCACTATTGAATAAGAGCTCAAATTATTGAAAAATTTCGCCAACCAAATAACTATCTTATTAAATTTCCTTTTATTTGTCTTCTGCTTCTAATGAAAGAAATTCAGAGAGTATTTTGATATCATCTTTGAAATTTGAAGAAATTTAATAATCTTCTAATAAGGTTTATTTTTCCTTTTAAATAGTAAAAATGTATGCTTTAATTTAACTAGAAGTTTTTTTCAATGTAGTTTCAACATAGCGTTAATACTCTATAATTTAATCAAGAATGCTCTTGAAATATTCCAACCTCACTTGAATCGCATTTGACTTATTTTCTTATCTTTGTTTTTTAAAAGATTGTATTCTATCTTTGGTTTATTAAATAGTTGATATTTTTATACTATTCATTCTTTCAACTAAGCAACTGCTACACATGAATTAAAATGAGCCTTTTTTTGAGGAATCTAAATTTACAGCAGTTATTTCAAGTTTATGAATTTGGCATATGGTTTCTTGATTCTCATATGATTATTACATTTATGAAGATAAAATATTCATTAATTAATTATATTTAATATTAAGATTAATATTTTCGAGCTCATTCCTTTAAACACAATAATAATGGAATTACATTAAAAAATTAAATTTTAATTTGTGATTATAAATTTATTTTTAATTTGTTTAATATTCATTGCTCAGAAATATCAAACTATATTTTTAGTAATTGTGATAATTTAAATTAAGTGATAGATAACGATAAATAATTTGCTACAAATGAAAAGGTTAAAAACTTAGAATTTTCTTATGGTAGCTATTATATATTGAATTTCTAAATTACTTATACTTCAAATAATCAAGATCTTGTTAGCCAGTAAAACTAAATTATACTAATTTAGCTTTACTCACTATATTGAATTGATTGGAAAAAATAAGAAAAATAGGAAAAAAAGAGAGAGGAGCAAAAATTTATTATGTTGTAAAAAAGAATTTTGAATGGAGCAAGGTAACACATTTATACCAAAACGTATATGTTGAAAGTTGAATTATTTTATTTGTATTTAGCCTTAA